CTCACACACACACACACACACACACACACACACACACACACACACACGTGTTACATATATCTACATATCAACATACATGTGTTATATACGTCGCCTTTTCTCTGTTCCCTCTTTTTGCCTCCCTTGTTCGGCCCTTTGTCTATCCCCCGTCCTCCGGGCGCTCCTCTCTCTCTCCTCGTCCCTTTGGACCCCTTCTCCCTCTCCCCTCCTCCCCTCCGTTTCACTTGATCCCCTAACAATACACGCCCGCCATCACCTTAATCACCTAGGCAACAGAGCACCTCCGTCCCATTTGCCCCTTCCTTTTCCCCTACCTTTGGCCAAACCAGACACACATGCTACCCCGATCCCGATTCAATGGACCTTCTCATGCTCGACGCTGGATGTCGCTCAGACTGTTTCCAAATATGGAAACAGACGAACAAGCGTAACGACAGGTCGCAACGATACTTTGATTGCGCCACATTGTCGAACACCCTGCATGAGTGTGCAGCAGCGCAAGCTATATATAGACAGACAGCTCAACCGCACGTTCCAGATCAAGCTAGAGACAATAGTGGCCAATCTCCACCCCCACCTTAGCCAATTCTCTTAAGCCCAATCTTCAGTAAGTAGATTCCAGCTAAATCTACCACTCCATCTCCTTCTCTCATGGATCACAAGCTCCTCTCTCTCAACCCCCGTCCTCTCCACCACTTACATCCAAGCTGTGAAACGAGCAATGTCAACGCCATCCATCATATGTTCCCGCCATTAATCTCAACAAGATCATCCTCCTACCTACCTTTTCCCGATATTATAATCAACAAGATCCTCATCACTATCTTGCCACGTGGCCTCCATGATCACCTCCCCCTCACCAAGATCATTACCTCAACTCTTTGATTGCATCATCACGTTCCCACTCGCCCCTACTGTAACCAGCACGCTCACCGCCGTCCTTGTCGTCGTCTTCACCGCGGTTCAAGCTCTGGTACTCGTCGTGCTTCCGACTCCGCACGAGAGCTCGCCAGCGTACCTCCTCGCTTAATGGATTGACAGACAGAAGTAGTCAATGCAATAACGGACGAGACTTCACGCCGTGCGCAGCAACAGCTTCCCCCGTCTCATCCTTCAGTGAGAGACTTCGAGAGGGGAGGGAGGGAGGGAGGGAGGG